CCAGACTCACCCGACTCTTCAGATGCCTCGGAATCTTTATCGGGAAAAGCTAGCCTCCGAGAATTTGTTTCGCATGTCTTGGCGTTTTCGATCTTGGTCATTATGTCAAAATTATGAGCATGGACTCCCTCGCGGGTCTCCCTTCGGGATTCCCATCTTGCATGCTTCAGCATGTTTTTTTTCCTGCTCCTGGATAGCCTCGACATCAACTTTGAGCTGGGCCACTTTTTTATCAGCTTCGTTTCGGACCATAATAACTTCTGACTCGGCAGCCTCGAGCTCCTTGGCTAGATTTTCTTGACCAGAAACAGCCGAGCTTAGCTTAGATTGGAGTCCCTCAATCATTTTGGCCTGCGCCAAGTTCTTCTCCTTTGTAGCCCGAAGCTGAATCTCAGCAGAAGAAAACTGTGTCCGGGCAGTCTCTTTTTCCGAGGCTAAGCGATCCATATTTTTCTTCCATTCCTCAGTCTCGGCTTTGACCGCATCCACCTTACCTCGAACTTGCTCGATCACGTCAAGTTTATTATGAACCTGCGAGTTTGAATTGTTAGCTACTAAGTCTGACTCATCATTACTAACTCCAAAAACTCTCCTTACCTGCTCAACCAGTATGGTATGTTCCTTACGAGCCACTTCCAGCTTAGTTTTGGATTTTTCATTAAGGAGCTTGTAAGCATCCCTCTTTTCGAAAAGCTCCCGAGCCTCGGCCTCGAAACATTTTGACTCCTCCCAGTATCGAAGAAAATCCTCGTGATGAAGCACCGAGGCCTACAAACACAAAGAAAAAACAATATGATTATTCATGATTAAAGTTAAGTACATAATAAAGGGGCATTCGAAATTACCCGATTCAACGCCTGTTGAGCTTCGTTGAACAGGCAGGGCGCCTCCACCTCATTAATTTTTGTTTGATCCTCTTCGGTCACCAAACACCGAAGATAACTGGCAATCCCCACTGGGGAAGAAATAATCCGGGCATCCTCCGGGATGGACATGTAAATTGCCCGCCTCCGAGTAGGATCAACACTCGGAGCTAGGAATTGGTTCACTAATCGAGGGCTTGAAGAAGGCCCACCGGCTTTCGGGGATGATGTCTTTTTTGGTACCGGTAAGTCGCCCAAACCGGTAACATCCTCTGAAGCAATGGATTCTAGGCCGTCAAAGAAATTATGGAAAGAATCGGCTACTCCTTGGGCCCCTTCACCGAGATTACCTTTCAAAGCCTGGCCTCCTTGTGCCAATCACATTTTCTTTCTCGACCTCACTGGCTTGGGCCAAATCGATCTCGACCCTCTTGGAGACTTCAGCCACCGTTTCTTCTACGACCTCTACGGCTCGAGGCATTTCGGAGCCGTTTCTCACGCAGGCTACTAACTCAGAATCCTCTTCTTCCTCAGATTCATCCCTCAAACGATTGAATGAGTCCGATGAAAGTTCTCGAGCGCTGGTTTTCTTAGGTTTCTGTGCAAGTCGCTTCCTCGGTCTTTTCCTTTCAGGGGCAGAGGGACTTAGAACTTTTCTTTTCTTTTTCTCTTTACCCTATTTCGGAGCAGGGGGGTCGGCATGTATATGATCGTCAACTGAGGGGGGCCCTCATATCGACGTCCTTTCCTAAACCTACAAAATGTGAATATAACGGATCAAGGACTGATGATGAAAAAAAATGAGATCAGATGCATTATTAGGGAAAAATCCTTACCATGATTACGGGCCTCCCATCGACCCTTCGATAGCTCACGCCATAAACGCTCGGAGTAAGGTCTCTGTGTCGCAATGCCCTCGACCCACTCTTTAAGTTTAGGAATGGGGTTCGGCATTTGGGCAACAATTGCATCACATTACATCGATGAGAAACCAAACAGAATAAAAAGCAATAAAAGGAATACCGAAGGCAAAGCAAAACTTACGTTTCATATTCCATTTCTCAGGAAACGACATGTCCGCAGCCTGGATTAAGTCTGAGGTTCTCACTCGAACAAATCTACCTAACCAACCCCGGTCTCGATCCTCGTCGATACTGGAGAACAAGGTCTTGGTGGCTCGGCGTGCAAGCTTAATTAACCCTCATCGGTAAAGTCAAGGGTTGTACATGCGCATGAGATGGTCGATGGTGAATGGACATCCCTCGACCCTGTTCACGAAGAATCGAAGCAGAATAACGATCCTCCAAAATAAAGGATGTATTTGCTCGAGCGTCACATCATACCTTTTGTAAAAGGCTACGATAATCAGGTATAGAGGACCTAACGTGAAAGGGTAACTGTAAACACTTAAGAAACACTCCATGTATGTGGTAATTGATTCTTCAGAGGTAGGGACCACTACGTGTTTGCCTGCCCAGTTGCAATCCTCTTTAACCTTATCGAGGATGTTATCCGTAATCGTACATATGTACCTTGAGACTGGTTCGCATCGACAAGGTACCATGGGCGTGTTCTCAACTTTGAAATCAGCCACAGTAGGGCAACCAATAGGGATGTATGGTCTCAGAGGAGGTTCCTCAGTAGTAGCGTTTTCAGAAGGTTTTGAAGAAGATGGTGTTTCTTTTTGAGGAACATGCTTTGTAGTTTTTGCCATTTTTATAAAAAAATAACGGAAAGAGATTGTTAATAAGAGAAAACTTTGAGGTTAGCAATGGGAAAACCAGAAGATGAAGAAGATGGAGTTCTTAGAACACAAGAAGGATTTGAGCGTAAAAGTTATAACAAATGGATTTGAGGATATTTATAGGTTCCTCAAGCGATCTCTCGAGGTAGACGACCGTCAACTGACATACATTTAATGCCTCGAAGATCGGACTGATGAGACGTTTTCAATATTCTTATCACCTACGTCATGTACCCGTCGTCATGATTTATCGAAGAAAGGACCGACGATTCATATCATTTTTGGTCGCTTACTCTCCAAAAAATGAGGGGACTATCTGTATACGGATAGAATCGAGCTCAATGCTCGATCGAGGCATCTGGAACAAGTGTTCCAGACTCGGCACCTACGTAAGAGATCAAAGTTACCGATATAACTAAGCTCGACATCGAGAGTAGAAGTTCAACAAAACCATCATACTCGCCCTCGAGTTTACCGAAGGCACCACCGATTCTGCTTCTAACGGACTCGGGAAAAAGCTTTACCCACTCACATGACAAGTATCCGTGATTCTCGTCATTGACCAAACATTATGGCGGAAATTACGGAATTTAGTCAAAAGGGGAGGCAATGGTCTACATAATTTCTTATAAAATAATGTCTTAAAGGTTTATCTCCCCATACGTATAGAAGGAATGGAGTAATTCAGGGGGGACATTGTGACATATTTAAGTGAAAAAGATACCCTTTTTTTTTAACTTTGTTCATATAATTCTGTCTTCAATAATATCCCATCTAAATTTGAAGGAACTTAACCTTGCGAGACTTAAGTTGTTCAATCTACATGGTTTGTATTTATTTTTCTATTTATTCTTCCATATTAAAATTGATTTCTCATTTTGTATCAAATTAGATCACGTATCCTTAAAATCACGTATAAATTCAATTATTATCCGATTTTTGGGGTAAACAATAGATATCATTATAAGAGAAGTTGATCGTTGAAATGATAATTGACACAACAGAAATAGAAACTATCAATTCTTTTTTCAAATTGGAATACTTAAAAGAAGTCTATGGGATCATATGGATGTTTTTCCCTATTTTGACTCTTCTATTAGGAATCATCCCCGAACCAGAGTGAATATAGGATGCTTTATGCACTTGGCTGCCATTTTCATTAGTATAAATGTGTAATATTAATATCACTCTATTAGTTATATAGGTTAAATACTGATATATTTTGCTGCGCACGTTTAAAGGAGAAAAAAGAAAGAGCACACGTTTTTTGAAAAACCCTTTTATTTTAAATGGACAAAAAAGAAAAGAAGCTAAAAACATAAAAACAAGGCTAACCTCTCTCTTTACCAGTTGGATGGCTGATGGAAGGTTTTCTGGATGGAAGGACACAGTCTTTTTTTTTTTTTTTTTTTTTTTTTTTCTTTTGTTCTCTTTCTTTTTTTTTTTTATAAAAAAAATATATATTTCCTCCTGGCTAGACAAAGCTGCTAACCACTACTGTAATTAATTTTCCACAGCACAGAAGTCATAATACAATGATCAGCTGTTACACTTTTGGCAGTGCTGTTTGTAACTAATATGCCATTGTCCCTTGTCTTTGTCTTCTTATTGTTTTACCTTTTTACTGCTGTCAACAGTCAAAATTATATCTTGAACTAGTAATTAATAAATCTCCCATTTGCCTTGCTGTTACAATAATGCAACATTGCAGTCTGCCTTGACTTAGCTTTTCAATTAAGTACGTATAGACTGTTCACATTGTGTTGTGTAAATGGCTGAATGAGCTCTAAAGAGTGCAGGCATATCCACACTGTATTTCATGTACCTTCACTGCAGAGTGAATTTTTAGAATATTGGTACACCATTAAAAAAATTGAAAAAAAATTATTAAATGAGAATAAATTCATATTTCTTTGAATAAATAACTCAGCATTCAGCCAGACGCACAATTCAATTTTTTTTGGAGTATAAATGCCAACAAATAATATTAAATTAATTTTATAAAATATATAATATGATCGAAAGATTATAGGTTCACGTGCACCGTAAAAACGACCTAAACCCGCCTAGCAAAAGAGACCTTTTCCCCTCTTTTTTGGCCCAATGAAAATTTGTATCGATGAAGAATCGTCTAATTTATATAAGTTGACGTTATAGAGAAATTTTACTTTACCAAATCACTTAAAACCAAATTACATACTACTGTAACTTTTATAGCAAGCATGGAGTAATAATCTACAAACCATAGTAAAGGACCTCTTTTTAATAGGTAAAAGTATAGTATTAAATTTTTTATATTGTCCGTGTATATATATAAAATAAAATTATTGATAATTAAAAAAATACTTGAGAACAGCTTGAAAGAGGAAAAGCAATCCCCAACATATAGTACTCTTGAGCCATGAACTCTCTTGGAAGAAGAAATCCAAAGAAAGCAACAGACCTTCCTCAATTCAGCAACAGAAAAAACATGTACAAATTAATCCATCTAACAACATAAAGAAGAAAACACCAACATTGAAATCAATCTTCTGAAATGGGTACTGTTATAAGGGAAGCAAAAAAGGGAGCCTAATTGAAGAAGATGATGATGATGAGAGAAGAAGGAATATCATCAAACAGTAGGTGTCAAGACTGTGGAAATCAAGCAAAGAAAGATTGCCCATATTTGAGGTGCAGAACTTGCTGTAAAAGCCAAGGGTTTCAGTGTCAAACCCATGTCAAAAGCACTTGGATCCCTGTCTCTAGAAGGCGTCCAAGGCACCACCTTCTTCACACTATTCAACAACAGCAGCAGCAGCAGAAGCAGCTTCAAGTAAACCCTAAAAGATACAGAGAAAATGATAATCTTGCTGCAGGTACTTCATCTTAATTTATCTACTGTTGTCCTCACACACAATCTTGATTGCACTGTACTAAGAGATCTCAACAACGGTGCACAAGAGTCCAGACTTACCCTGTAACACAAAATCCCGTTATGCGCGGGATCCGGGAAGGGTCGGACCACAAGAGTCCAGCCTTACCCTACATTCTGCAGGAGACTGTTTCCACGGCTCGAACTGTGACCTCCTGGTCACGTGTCAGACATTAACTTTACCGGTTAAGCCACGACTCCCTTTCTAATAGACCTCAACAGTACCATTTTTTTGCCAATTTCCTTACCCTCTTTATGTCTATTACTTATCTATTTGCAGACACCATCAAACCCTAGTCATAGTATAGCTCACTTTGATATCCAGTAGTACCATACTTGCTACTAGTATTTTCTGCTATTATTCTCATTCTCTTTAATTATTTGGCTCATGTTATATGCTGAACATAGATGGATGAACCATATTGCACCCCTCAACTCAGCAAAAGACCCCAAAAAGAGTGTAACTTCTATGCACTTTCAATTTCACCTAAAAGATGATTACATACCGGAACCGTCCCTGGAAATAGTGAGATTAGTAACATAAAACATTAAATACACTACTAATGTAAAAATTCTTTCAAAATACTTCTTTATACTTATTTTCGCTGTATTTTTGCAATTGTAGGAGGGGAAGAAGAAGATGTACCAACAGAAGTGAGTTTACCAGCAGTATTTCGGTGTGTTCGAGTAAGTTCAACAGACAATGTGGTGGATCAATATGCTTATCAGACATCAGTGAATATAGCAGGACATGTGTTTAAAGGGATATTATATGATCAAGGCCCTGAGACTGAGACTCATTACAATAATATGGCTAGGGAAAGCTCCTCAAATGGCTTCCAACAAGAGCAACTTACAACAAATTTAACACCACCACCACCTTCTTACCCTAGTCCTTTTAATAATTTCATGCCTGGTACGCAATTTTTTCAATACCCAAAGTCATCCTAAAATTTAAAATTATTTCTCCTAATTTAAGTTGTTTTAAATCTATAGCTCGCTAAATTTTTATGTACATGTAAAATAATATACACTGGATAAGAAGGGAAAAGAAGGAAAAGTTCAAAATCAGATATATATCGAGAGAGAAAGAGATCAGTGCTCTTGTATTCTTTTGTGATTCCAATGAAGAATTATTTGCCTTAATTTGGTCTGCAAAATTAATATATATGGGGCCGTGTTTACATATGGCTCTGCAGTTTGTCTTTTCATGAATTTTAATTTCTCTCTGCCGTATGTGTTAGGGAAATTAATAATGTCTGATTTATTGGTTGTTTATGAACTCCAAAGCTGCTTTTCTCCCCATTATCCGGCTAAATGTTGTTAGATTTACTGGGCGTTTGGACATAAATTTCAAGATTTTTTTTTTTTTTAAATTTGGAATTTTACTAAAATTTGATTTGAAGATCAAGTTGTGTTTGGTTATAATTTTTGCAACATATTTGGATGTACTTTTTTTCTAAACCCTGAAATATGATTTATACCCCACAATTAAAAAAATATATTAAAACCACTCCAACTTGATTATCCTACTTGAAACAAACAATCAAACATGTTGATCGTTTAGTTGTACGAACAATCTCTAATAGAAGTTGTAGTGGCTCCTTCAAGTAAAAGTATAAATTATAGATCTCAACAGTGGATATCAAATTATAGTCTAATGCCACTCAATCAAATTGTGGTTAGTTGTAGGTGTTACCTAGGTTTAATAACTGATTGGGTCCTTTTATAAATTTTAAAAATATAAGGTAAATATGTAAAACTTAAAAATACCAACTTTCCAATTTTTCAATTGAAAAACTGGTTCTCACCAGTTTTTCAAATTCGAAAATATATTTTCAAGTTGGATTTGAAAAAATGTAAAATTTTCATAACCAAACATTGTTTTGAAACTTTTTTTTGAAAAAAAGAAAAAAATTCTTATGTCCAAACGGGCTCTTAAATTATATTGAAAGTGTAAACTTTTTAAACATTATCAAAATTGTTTTGCCTGTTATTACCGTTCATTTATCTTGCTTTTTAGATTACTTGCTCATAATACGTTATTAAAAATTTTAAGTTTCTAAGTAACTTGATAGTGTAAAATTTTGTTTATGCATTTAATATTCATGTTGAAGTGGAGACTTGGAGCAACTGTTAATTTGTCTTCGTATGACCTATATACCACGGATTCGATCCGTGGAATCAGCCTCTGATGCGTTCATCAAGCATTAGGGTAGACTGCTAATATCATACTCCTTTGGGGTGCCGCCCTTACTCGGATCCTGCGTAAATGTAAGATACTTTGTGTATCGGACTGCGCTTATTCAATATTCATGTTAGTTAACCTCAATCTTATGTGTCCATTTGAATGACCATAATTAGAGTATAACTCATTGAGCATATTTTAATCGTATTTGGTATGTCTAGTGGTAGGCTAACGTGTTAAGCTCCCTTTCTTGAGCTTCATTTGGAGCTCAACACAAACAAGAAAATGTAGGCGGTCATGAGTACTCACTACTCTTGTCCCCTTCTTGTACGTATAAAGTTCAACAAAATTCTGATCATTTCTCCAAATTCACATCTCTTTTCAAATCCTAGCGTTCGTTTATGCTTTTATATTTTATTATTTGTACGTATACACAGGTTTACAGAAAGAAAAAAGAAAATCGTTACGTAAAAAGTGTTTTCTCATTGTAATACTTGATAGCATTGTCCTTGTACGTCATATGCCCATCTTAGGGTTCATTGAGTTGTTATTTTCTTAAGCTCCTCCACATATTAGGGCTTTTAGCCGGGAGGATTTAGGCCGTTTTTATGGTGTTATATAAACACATAGTCTTTTCGTCGTATTATATATATATATATATTTCGTAAAATTGATCGAATATTATCTGTTAGCCCCATGCTTCAAAAATTAAATGATGCATTTGGTTGAAACTGAGTTATTTATCCAAAGCAATGTGGATTGATCCCACTCCGTACTTTTTTTTCGTTTTTTAGTGGTATACCCATATTTTAGAAATCCTAAATATACCCATGCTTTTAGCTTGTATGTGTATTTGAACCTATGTAGTCTGTCCTAGCCGCCAATTAATCTGTCTAATATTTTAGATTACTGATTTATTTATTTTTGATAAACGATTTATTGTAATTATCATTTACATTACGTTATAGCATATATAGATAATTCTTACATTATCAATATATGGAAGTTAATTACTTATATAGCAGTATTCTGACCCTATGTCCGTTGTCCCACAGATTAATATGGAGTTCTCCATATATATAAATGTTTAGAAAAAACTTTGTCAATAAGAAGCCCTGGTGTAGATCATTGCAGCACTTGGTTAAATCATGGCAAAGGCATGAAAAGGGAATCTCTCATTATTATTATTATTATAATAAAGAAGGTAACGCTTAGATGATGAATACTTAAATAAGTATTTTGAAGAGAAAAGATTGGGTGGGCATCTACTGATTTTGTAGGTGATAGTGACTAGAAGCCGAAAAGCAGCTTGGATTGCACATGTTCAACCTTTTATTCTAAAGAGACATTCACACTAACCAAAGGAATTCAAAAGATGATATCCCCATCTATTGGAATATATCCTTAATACTGCTAGCGAAGGAAATGAACAGGTAAAGCCTGTAATATATTATACAGTACTATGTATTTAACTTATATATACCGATCATCTAAAGAATTTTCATATTAAACGTGAATTTAATCAGCTATAGCAAGTTCTTTGTTTGTTTCCAAGCTATTATTCTCTCTTATGGACGATTACGCCCCTTTTCTTATCTTAGATGATATGATTAGTTTATAAATTCTTTTATTCTGTCAATATATAAAAGCTAATACTCTATTATATATATATGTCTTTCCCATGTACGTAGTTCTTTTAAAAAAATAATTAAGGAATGAACAGCAAACTTTTTATGGAAGGGGAGGGGGATACAAATCTAGCTTTATGCAAAACAAATAGAGACATTTCTTTAATTATATTGTAAGAACTTTAGCAGGAAAATGAATTTGTATTTTAATATACTTTAGGCACCAGACATATGAAGTGCTTTTTTCGAAAGGAATATATAGTTTAAGTATGTGAAGATGGTTTATAAGTGATCTTTGGACTTATTGAGGAGACGATTGAATGCTTTTCTGAGGCTACCAACAAATGGGCACAAAAGAGAATCAGTTTCTGTACGGAGTTCATGCATGTCTCTGCTATCAAATTTAGTCATAAAATGACAAATTAGGCTCTACAGTTTGGATGGAGAGACTAATTACGTTATACTCCCCGTTCCAATTTAGGTGAACTTATTTCCTTTCTTGTTCGTTCAAAAAAGAATAACCCTTTTTTAAATTTGAAATAATATTTTAGCTTAAATTTTTAGTTCTACCGTTAATAAGAAGCTTTTATAACTATACAAATACCCTGAACCCCTTTCTAACATGCTTAGGACCACAAATTCCAAAAATCTTATTTTTTCTTAAATTCCAGTCAAACAGGTTCACATAAATTGGAACAGAGGGAGTACTCTATTTATAGATAAATTTTGACTTATTTCGTTTGCGTTCTAAGAAGGCTTTATAACCATACAAATACTCTGAACCCCTTTCTGACATGTTTAGGACCACAAATTTCAAAAATCTTATTTTTTCTTAAACTTCAGTCAAATAGGTTCACATAAATTGGAACAACGAAAGTACTTTATTTATAGATAAATTTTGACTTATTTCGTTTGCGCTCTAAAATTTAATTATTTTTCTTCTTGGTTTTTTTTTGGGGGGGAGGGGGAGGCTGGTAGAATAAAGAATATGATTTATTTATAATTCTCGTTTACTTTTTCTTGAGCATTTCCCTTCTTTTTAGCTTATTCCTTCTGTTTGATGGAAAGGTATCTATTTAATTAGTGATATTTACTGATAATATATATTTTTGGTTATTCACTATAAGAATGTAAGAGAGTGAGTTAGGGAAATGCTTAGAGTTTCTCTTCTTGTTTAAACTCTTCACAAGTGGTGCTTTAATTGAGCTAATTTTGAAAACATGGTAGTTCAGCAGCCTTGTATCCTTACCGTTATATCTCGTACTTGTCCTTTTCATTAACAGAGCTTTAACGTGAAATAGCGTCCCAACTCTTCGATAAAGAAGGTCCAAATTTATCCTTCAACTTTGAACTATGATAAAATTATTCTCAAGTTGGAGTTCATTTATCAAAGAAAAAATAAAAAAAAATTCTTAACTGGGGGATAATATTAGACCAAAAGTTTAACAGAGATAAAATTACTTAATTTCAAGCAGTGCATGGACAAATTTGATCCTTTCACCTCTGAATATGCTGGAATTTGCGAGGATGCTAAAATAACCATTTTGCTATCTGAATTCAGGGCGTCTCAACAAGATTGGGGCCTAAAGCCAAATTTCACATAAAGACCCTAAGTAAGAATATTAAGGACAAATTTCAATGAAAAAGTATGAAATAAAGGTAGAATAATAAAACCGGCTCAAGAATTTGATAAGTTGATATACAACAACAATATACCCACTAAAAACCCATAAAGTGGGATCTGGGGAGGTCGAGTGTACGCAGACCTTACCGACAGAGAGATTGTTTCCGAAAGACCCTTGGCTCAAGAGAAAGCATGGCAAAAAAAAGGTCAGATAAGGAAATCAATTCAATGCAGTATGAAAATGAAAGTAACGAAGGTGAATAATCATGATAAAGCAGTCTAAAAAGGAGCAATAACTATCACTGATAAATAAGATAATCGAAGTATAAGAAACAATAAATAGTAGCAGAATTCAAAGGGTAAGAAACTATAGAGCAAGATAAGTTGATATAATGATATCGAAAAGCGGTGCATTGCTTCAATATAATGATTGCTTATTGTAATACTTGATATTCTGAAGAAGACAACTTGTAAGCCGCGATAAGTTGCCGATTAAGAGACTTTTCAATATTGAGAATAAGAATAATAAAAGAGAGAATGAAAAATGTCAATATATTAGTTGTTAGGATATAAATAAGGCAAAAAAAATAGTTACCCTACCCATGTAAGGAATCCATTCTCTAATTATTACAACACTCCTCACATTAAAGTTATTGTACTTTCGCTCCAAAA